CCCCAAAACCCCAAAACCCCAAAACCCCTTTCCATAAAATAGATTAATCAAGTTGGTTATTTAATATGAAATATGAGCTTTAATTTTTAGAAGTTTTCAAAGAATTAGCAACTTGCTAGTGAATTATTATTTCAAACTTTAGGTTATACAATTAATTTTTATTATTTACAAAGTTAGGATAATAATTCAAAATTTTGATAACCCTTTCCTCACAATACTAAATGGATATTCATGAAAAGCAAAGCTTTGCGACACAATATTTGCATAAATGGAAATATCGAATCTCACTCATATATTTTGGATTAATTAACAATAATGTTGTTTCAAATTTCATATACCTGATCTTTGTTGCTGTTGATGCATTTATTTTGCTTTCGTTGATTCTTTATATGATGCTAGAGAATCAAGGCATTAATCTTTACTATGATATTAGAGATTTTTTAGCTTTTAGTGAAGCTGATGAAGCTACAAGATTTTATACAGTTATAGCAATATTTTTACTCCCTTTGATTATAGCTATATATTTCACGCTCATGTTGCTTAGACTGGACAATTTAATCAAACTAACAAAAAATCAAAGTATTATGCTAAAAATATTGTCATTTGTTTTTGGAATGCTCATGACTTTTCTAACCACGGTTATACTTATATTCCTAACTATGAATGTATTTAATCCTTAAAATTCAATTTAATCTGACATCTACAAGTATGCCTCGATAGTCATAGTAATTATCATTAGCTTAGAATATTCTATACTTATTGCATTCAACGGAAATTTTTTCAATATTATTTTGCCAAATAAAATCTTACCTTGGTCATCCATTTCTTCGTATCCTTATTTTCTGGAATAAATATTGAAGGTGCTTATAGTATTTGGCTTTGCATTTAAGGATCAATAGATTGTGTTTTACATTGTTTTAACCCTTGCAATAACGAACAATATATACAAACTCTTTTATCAATTTAAGAATTCATTTTTACTTGATCAAACCTTATATAAAATATGTGTAGTTAGAGATTTCTTTCTGACCTAAATGATGATATTTTTGCTGCTCTAACCACTTTAAGAAAGTTCATATTTCGTTATAATAAGCTTTTCCTTCATTCCTCTTACCATGCTAGCATCACTAAACTACATTAATAGCTAAAATGAGTACTTTCTTAAATATGAGAAATCCTTAAACTCTAAGAATATTTAGGATATTTTTTTAAGAGTGATGAAAATACTATTAATTTCAGAGTAAAATGAATAAGATCTCAAGCATCTATTAGTAAGGCTGGTGAACTAACATTACATAAAATGTGGAAAAGGTTTTAAGTATAGAGAAGACAAAATGATAAGAATATGGAATTATAGGAAGAATTTAAAGAATAGCGATCAAGAAATCCCTCATAATTTAGACAGAGATAGAGAAGATTAAACATTATTAGATCTAAATGATAATTAATTTGGCTCTGGACCATTAACGATGATATCAATGGGTAAAATGTTGAATTTTGAAACTGCCAATAAGGCTGATAAAACGAATAAAAAATCAGTTTCAAGGAAAAGGAATACAGTAATTCAATTAAGAACTTAAGAGCTTGTAGAACCAAGCTAATCTTAAAATGATTTAATGTTCTAGCCCAAGTAATAATAATTTGATAATGAGGAATTAAATTCATTGCTGGAAAGCAAAGAATCAATTGAAAACGAGATTATATCTCTTCTCACTCATATTTTTAAACATCATGTCGAAAAGTAACATTTGGAAATGTAGAATGATAGACAGATTTATTTGATAAAGGTCTTGATAAATTATTTCACATTAAACTAAAAGAAGAATATTTACCTTGCATACTTCTAAATTATTGAGATGACTAAATCGTTTGGGGACAGTTTCTTTTCAACAAATATTGCAATTATAAATCATATGTTTCTCCATCAGGGTTTGAGAACATATGAAAAAAGAGAGGACATTGGAAAAGAGTTGGACTATTATGAGATAGTAAATCTCAATAAGCTATTTACCTAGTTTAAGATATCAGTGGAATAAGTAACTGAAAAAATAAAGTAGTTTTGGAGTAATATTGCTTATGAAAAACTAGAGTAAGACTTTTTTTTAACTGGAAATTAAATAGTTAATGATTTAGATAAAGTCAAGAAATTATACAAAATTATTGATTCTCGATCTAATAAATTCAATCAAGAGGTCGAGTTATATATCCTTATGTCTAAATTCTATAAATATGTAAGTCTAGATAAAATTAAAATATTTTAGGTTCTCATGAAATAACTTGAATCCTTTGAAGAGAAGACTAAGTTTAACATAGTTCTACAATCTCAGAGATTGTAGGCATAAAAATCTGAAACATCATCTATAAATGAATTGGGCTTTTTAATAACGAACTTTGATATTTAAGGAAGCATTAAAATTAAATTTATGAATCGCTAGGCTCAAGATATGACTGAATTTGAATTTACAGATGAAAAATAACTTTTTGTTCATTAAGTAATGCCTTAGATTATCTAGGAGAATCACTATAAATTCATTTAGCATTTCATGAAAACAGGATAGACAAACCTTATAAATCAGAGAAGGTTGATGTTCATGAAATAAAAGTCAAATTTTATCATTCCAATTTATACACACTTGATTATAAATCTAAATAACATAAACTAAGTCATATTTGTTATTGATAAAGCTAATGATTTCAATCCATTTGATCACGATTTAGAAGAGTAAAGACAAGAATATGGCTTAATAGTATTAACACAGAAATTTTAAATTTGTGAAATATCTAAAAATTTATCATAAATATGCAATCTTGACTATGATCAACTTGACAAAGAATAAGAGAAATACAATATAAGGATTACTATAGATGATTTATTTTCTCCTTGTGATTTCATTAATATTGACCTCTCAATGGTCATAAATCAGTTGCAAAATACAACTATAGATATTTAAAGTAGATTAACTGAGATAAATTCTAGTCAAAACTTGCAATATTTTGCTAAAAATAGTCACAATAATGAATTCTTTAATCACTCATAGAAATAAAAATATTAAGTCAGAAACACTCCATTTTCATTTATGAGAGGGAAATTAAAAGTAAATTTACTGGCTATATGAGCTAAGAAAAACTTTGCAAGTTCACATATGATTGGTAGCTTAGGTCCATTACAACAACAATTTCATCATACAGCAATGCCTATTGACATCAATATTGTAGGAAATGGACCTATATAAATAGCTGGATCTCCAAACAAGGAAATTTCAGGCATAAGCTAGAATAACAGTAGAGATCTGGCCAGTATGTAATCCTCAGGAAATGAGTCAGGTCATTCAGCAACGTTTCAAAAGTTCTTGAAAATCTAATCTAAGACAACTTTACCTACTTCTCTCAAAGTGATATTTCAAATTATTTCATTACTAGCAGTTCTAATTGTCATTGCTAGTGTAATAGATTTAAGCTTTTCTTTAGAAAATATTTAAAAAGCATATGATATACTTGATGTGAACGAGTTAAGCTTATCAAGAATAAATGACTTGAGAATGCTAAGAGTAGTAATGAGATCTCTAGTTAATATTGCTAATGACCTACAAGAAGTGAGCAGTTAAGTAATTTCAGATAGGTTTAATTATATGCTGAGTATAGCAGGATATCTTTATCAGAGTCTTAAAATCGAAAGTGTTAAGATAAATTAAAAGCAGATTAACTTTGCTGAGAATAATTCGCAAGTAGGAATCTTGACAAGCAAAAATTAAATAGAATATCAATGGAATAAAATCCAAATAATAACAGAGATGTATCTAAACAAAGTTAGTGGACTTCTCGATGATCTTAACAATTCGAAATCATTGAATTAATTGAAATCTAATAACAATCTAATTGCACTTTAAGAGTAGAATAAAATAAGACCAAATTCTTCAAGCATTTTGGAGCGGGATCTATTTTTTATTCTTTACAATCAAAATCATGATATTTATGAAGGAATTGAACGCTTTACTTCTATATACACAGATGAAACATCTAGAAGCATTGATGAAAATACAGATCATAGCAGTATTCTAAACATTTCTTGCTTTAGCTTAATTATACTCAGTGGTATTCTAATCATACCTTTGACTATTCAATTACTTAGGAGGATGGATAAATTAGTGCACTTTTTCTACAATCTTGATAAAGTCACAGTATTTCAAAGGCTTGATAATATAAAGTAATTTTAAGATAAAATCCTATAGTAACTCAACAGTAAGTAAAGCAATAGTGGTAAAATTCAATTAGCTAGTGTTATGGATATGGATGACAACACTACTACTATTCAAAATATTGGGATGGCTTAAGAATTTTCAAACACTCGCTAAACATCTGGTTACACTCACTCAATTCAAAGCTCTAAAAGAGAACTTAATCTAATGAAAGGGATTAAAAGAAGCAAACGAAACAAATTCTCAGAGGATTCTGACGATATCAATAGATTATAAAAGCTAAAATCAAGGAAGAAAAATACTATAGTAAAGATGATTAGTGAAGAAGAAATTGAGGAGGATGATTCTTTCGCTGAGAGCTAGAGGCAGCCTAAGAACGATAAGAATAAAGAAAAAATTAATCAATAGAATCAAGATTAAAATATATCAAATAAATAAACATCATTGGCTGAGCTGAATTTTAACAGAGGAAATTAGAAAAAGAAATTTTCTCATGTCTTGGTAAATATTCTTTGCACAGTTGTTTTTGCATCCTATTTTCTAATTATATACTTCCTCAACTTGCAAGGAAGGGATTAGATAGTCAAAAATACAGACATTCTTTAGACTATATTTAACAGAAAAACTCAGGTTGATTTGGCTACAATATCACTCTTAGAGGCTTACACGTACAACAGCACAATCATGATCAATAAATTTAAAGATAAGTAGCTCGAATATAACTTAAAAAGCATTTAGTAAAGTGAAAACTAATATTCTCTCGTGGTATAAGAAAATTCCCTTAAACATATTCCTGAAATTACAGACTATGTGAGGAGTATAGATGATTCAAGAATATGCGATCTTTACTTTTAAAATGAAAAAATCTATCCTGATTTTGGAGTCACATAATAAGAATGCCAAAATTTATCTTCTGGTATAGGGTAATAAGGAATGAAAAATTTCATATTTTAAACAATAGGCTTTCTAAATCAATAGACACTACAGTTTAACTACTAAAATGGCTCATAAAGAAATTATTAATACTTAAAATAAAATCTCAAGGGTAGGATAACAGATATTATAGATATTAGTATAAGGATATTCACAAAACCATAGAAAATACTTGAGGATAAATTGACTGAAGCGATAAGAGCTTATTCTAAGGGTATTCAGAGAAACTACATATTGATATTTATAGCATATCTCGCTATTCTGATAATATTTATGTCGGTATTCTTTTTTAGTAAGTTTATTTGAATAAATAACATTTTTTAGAAATATTTAGACAATTCAGAAAAGAGATGCAGATTTCAAATAAGATATTATACTTGATTGATTTTGACAATATGAATGATAATCAAAGGAAAAAAATTAATAAATTCCTATCAAAATATTGATTTATAATGAAAAAACATTTATTTAAGCATATCCTTTAGATATTATTGATTTTTATATGGTGGGGTTTTGGGGTTTTGGGG